CTCGTCCCTTATAGAGAAACCTGTTTAAGTTAAGACTGAATGCACATCTTCAACTGACATTTAGTAGAATTAAAATTTACGGAATTATATAATTGTGGCATAATAATGCCTCAAAAAGTTGATGTCAAAGCATAGAGAGGATTAGAGTCCGGGATGCTGCGATCTTACAAATTCTGTACGTGTAGGTTCCCAACTACAATACACAAACTGTTCCACACTAATTCATACCTTCTTTGCGTTTATTATCTTGATCGTTAACCTCGTTGGAAACCCCATTGCGCTCCTTTGGCTCTTCACTTATTTCCATGATGAAAACAATAAATTTAATGGTTCAAAACAATCAAATGCAGTCCACCAAAGGCAGCTATTTTACAGCATTTCCAAGGGAAAAAACTTTTGACAATATGTACACAAATTCACTCACACTGGAATATACTTGAACCTCAAATTACTCCTTGGTTAGGCAAAAATAAGGTTACACACATAGGAATACCTCCCTTACGCCTAATTGTACTGTGTCCAAAAACGCTTAAGAAACACTTATCTTTGTAAATTATGGGTCTTCCCCCAATCTTTGCATTATCACGTGAATGCACCCTAAGGCTAGTATTGAAAATCTCCGATCGCTTCCCGTAGTACTGAATTGATAGATGGCGATTACACCAACTACTGCGCTATGGTTTCGGAAATTTTGGCAGGTTTCTTATCAATATCCAATTCTCACAACATAGGTAAAGACATGGGTAAGTGTGAATGAGCTGGCGGGATGTCGGATTCTCAACAGAATCAAAGTAGTGAATCATACTATAAGTATAGACACACAAGGGCCATGTTCACATTAGCTGAGATTAATAAGAACCAATTTAAAAACCTGTCCGACAATCGACTTGGGTAAATCTTTGTGTACAAAGAAACAAAAACATTAACCTATTGATTTAGGACCTTCAGTACGTGAACCTTACTTAAATCGCAATTGTGTCGTGTACATTGATTAAGCTAGGGTGTGATGCGACATCTTGCCAACTTATCTTTTAAAAATCTATATATCAAGAATTACATGTACGCATATTATTCATATTTTAATTCAACAAACTTTTCTGGATGGGAAAAATTGGTAGGAGTAAAAAAAAAAAGAAATTCAAAATTTTTATATTACAGTTAGTTTTCAATCTTTTTGTAGAATATTTTAAAAAGATATACATAAAAATACAAATCCACAAACCTTTTCGCATATTGTTAATCCTACAAATTCAGAGTATCATGAAAAAAAGGAAAGAACGTCTCTTCAATGTCAAGATACGATATGCTAGCGGGTCACCTTTAAAGAGAGCTGAATTTATATAAATGTGAATTTGAAATTAGAAAGCGATGTATGCTAATATTAATTGCGAGGTGTTTTCGGTGCAAATTTAAAAATGTCATTTCATATATCAGCGTTATGGATGTTTGCGCACATGCATTTACAGAAAACTATAAGCTGAATAATCTTACAGACTTTGATAAGTCTAACTTTTCTAATAATAAATATTTTTTACGGTATAACAAGTTGATTTGAATCAAAGCAAGCTATTTATGTTTGTGGCTTATTTCCGCCGCATTAGAGGCGAGAGGTTAACAACCCGACTGATGTGTGATATTCACTCGAGCTCGAGACTACCCCTTTGTAGTTGCCAAATAAAATAGTGAATATACGCTATTATCAATTTTGGTAAATTATAAACATAAGTTGATATAGGATGTATTTAGCTGCATCATTATGAATTTAAAGATGTTTTTTTTTTCATTTCTTTGATTTAACAAACAAATAATTCTGGAAAAAATTAACATAACCTTGTACCTTTGTCATCCTATGAAACCTTCCAAAAAGAAACCTATTTATTTTTATATTTAAAATCCACATAATATCATCATACTCCTTGGTACAAGATTTAATAGATATTGCTTTTACATTGCCATTTTTTAAAAGGAATAATAGTCTTTTATTCCATCTACAGTTACCTCTCTTGTCAGATGTTAGAGGGGGGCTTAATTCAAAATCGATAGCATTCAATTTTATCCAGCCATTTAGATTACTATGGGTTATGTATCATGCCATGGAGAAAACTGAAATATATTGAAAATATACCATGAACTTTAAATGCGTATATATAGAAACAGGTACTTCTAATAAAAGAGCATATAAAACGATATCATGGTTTCATCAAATCCACTTATAGGGATGCATATTCATCTTCTTAAACTAGTACTTGAATTTTTATGATATTTAGACTTAGTTTGGTAAAAAAGAAGTTCACAAAAACCGACGCAGAAATCAGTTTGACTGTACTCATGACATTTTAACTATACATGAAAAAGATGGGCAAAGTTGATCAACATATGCTGAAGACAGTGGCATTGGTAAGTTAATACCAATAAAAACTTAATCGAAAAGCAAGCCCAATTAACAACAGAAACGAATAACTACAATTTAGCATGTATACCGACCACTCGAGGAAAAGATTGTCAACATACCATCAACACTAGTTCATTATCATGAATCTTTAATTAGAAGTGTAATTATATATGTATAACTCTTGGAATTAAACGCCAACAAAATTAAGACCATTAGATCAATCAAATCTAATCTATACATCGTTCTACGTACAGTGTATATACATTTACCATTTATGCAAAAAGAACCGCTCAGATCATATAATTAATATGATCACGTGACAAAGGAGTTTCAAAAGCAAAACATTAGTTTCTGGGACAGCTTCATCGATTCTCTCCGATACACAAACACCGATAGTGACACAATTTATCTTGAGAGCTTCAACAAAACACATTGAAATCGATACATTAAAGAGAAATGCAAACATGAAAACTCTATTGCTTTTCAGAACACTGCAATCAGTCGTCGATTAACTCTTTTGTTTTTGATGTTCACATCATACCAGGCTCCTGATGAGGTGAGTTTAATCTCAGTAATGAAACACTCATCTGGAAAATTGCTACCAACTACCAGAATCTGCAATTATCTCACAGACAAACTGAAACTCCTGCTCTTTCAGATTGTATTGAATTTCGCATTTTTAAATGCGGTAGAACAAAACTAGAGTATACATTGCATTGTTTTTACAATAACTCTACGACCATTTTTGAAATTATGTTATATTTTACTTAGTTGTGAGAGTCCAAAATCCATTTGTTTTGTCCACATTTAAAACGATATTGCCTTTTAGTGCCATTACATTGATTTCTCGTTTTTAACCACTAAATTGTTTTGGACTGATGAACTGCAAATCTAGTATGCAAATTATCAATTAAAAATTTAATTAAGAAATCTAGAGTAGAAAATCTATTGCAAAATATAACCCAAATTAGCATACAAGACCAAAATACATACAAATGCTTTGGGATGGGTTACCGTTCTTGAAAAAAATGAACTGAATTTCACGATCATCCTCATTGATTAGCTGAGAGGATTATACCAATTTTTATATAGCTGTATCCGTGCTAATGCAGTAATGATGTATTTTCGTTTAGATAACACATTACTTTAGAACAGAGTTGGAACTTGGCAATAACAAAAACCTAGCAGTCTGCAAAGACATTAAAGACAAAAAAGTCTTCCAGCTATATCTCGCCTTTGGGAAAATATCACCAAAGTTCTGCTACAGTCGTACAAGAATTAGCTAAGACAACTACAAAAAAAAAATCAATGTGGAAAATACAATCTGCTCGTTCCGCTTCAGTGATTTCCTGAAACGCTTTTACCACATTTTACAACTGGAGAGGATCACTAAATATGTATTTCATGAAATATTTAATTGCTGTCACTAGAAAAAAAATCAAAGAGGATAAGGTTTAGTGATTTAATACTGATTGTTTCTCCATAGTTACTTACTTGGAAACAGGGATCAATAACAATAAAGAAGATACTAGACTACTAATTGCAACATACGTGCAAGAATATTATGTTTTGCATGCAGCAAAGGATTTTGAAAAGATATAAGCACGTTGCAATGTGTTCACAACATAACATGCATTAAAAACTGTGCATTCATGTATTCCTATGAAATTGTAAAGTCTTCGAAATTCTTTAACCGGGTTATCATATCGGAAATAGAAATAAAATCAATTTTCTCTCTTGAAGGCGAAACTTTGTAAACCAGCTTTAAATGTTCATTAATTACATTAAGCCTTGCTATATAACTTGTAATTATAGACCAAAAATAGATAAAACATGCTCTCTGAGCTCTTACAAATAAAAAAAAAATCTAATTTGAAGAACCATACAGTGATTGGGATCAAAGTTCGAGTTAAAAAACACACCATATTCTTAGATCCGGACAGAAAAAAAACAACATAGGTTATCTTTAGAGAATAAATTCCCTACGAACCAGATGAGGTTTTTTTTGTATCTGTGGTTACCTCGACATACGACCTGCCAGAGCTAGATTTATGTTCAATACTTATCAACCATTTGTTGGACCAGCGGGGGAGTCTAGATAAGTTTATCTAGTTTCAAGAGATATCTCTAGTTTTTAAGCAAATTTTCCAGTGTATTATTTATTTAACTATAATTCCTGGGGTGATTTAGATATATTTCCTTGTTTTTAAAAGTTTAGATCTGGAAGAATATTAATTTAACCATACGTTGCTAAGGCTTATGCTCTACGCAAAGGATGTTTCTGCTGGCAGGAATTTTCAAGCATTTTTAACATTTTCCCCTTGAACCTAATAATAACAGAACTTTACAGTGCATTACAAGATCAACTCAACAATATAAAAAAGTGAATTTTGCTTTAATGAGTTTTGAAGTGTCTCTTCAATTTTCAAACTTGAGGAAACTTCAGAGTTTTAAGCATTTCGAGCATGTCTCGAGTGATGCATGTGTATTGTGAGGTGATCTTGCACAGTTGACACAATAGCTTTGGCGGGTCAAAAAGCGATTGGCAAATATAAGGTGAAATAAAATAATAAATAAAAACCCAAACAAAAAAGTGAAAAATACGTACAGCCATCTGACATGGAAATCCAGACTGAAAAACCGATTGAAAGTTAGTTAAGACGTTGTCTTTCATATATCGTGGGTCAACCATTTTGTTGTAAATTTCGTATTTTTTTTTCCAAATATAAGAGCCATTGGATAATAGATCAAATATATCTTTATGAAGTACAGGAAAAAAGTAAATTTGAAGAAGACTGGAGTGACTTAATTAACTGACAAGTAAAATAATGGAAAAGTATGATCCCACGTTTTTCCTGTGATTGTTTTAAAGATATCATGACATTGCAATATTGGAAATCATCAATATTGAGAGAAACTAATGAAGTCAAAAATTTGTCATCGGTCGAAATGTCTGGGTGTTAATTATACAAACTGTTATTAAAAAAAAACAACATAAAAACAAAATATGTTAGGTACAAATGGTACATTTTCAATGAACCATTATGACAATTAGACATCCTTTGTTAAGGTGTGGTCAGTATACAGGTTGTAAGCCCTATATCTTAGTTTGCTTTCAGTAATGTCTAAAAATCAATATACCTCATTAGTAAGAAGCTTATTAAGCTCAATAATGTCAATTTCTTTATCATACCACCTATATACCTAATGATTTCAGTATATTAACACTTGTATGCTTGTCTCATAAAACATGATGTTTCCATGTTGTGCTATTCATGCACTTGTATCCTAAATACGAATTTAACCAAATGTCAAAAGAACACTTTTTTTATTGTAAAACATAGATGATGACAACTTTCAAAATTTTGCACTTGCTACATGTATTTGAATGTTTAAGTGCAGTTAAAAAAGTTGAATCTATAAGTGGTCGGCTTTCGAATTTTTGATTGGTTAGGTTCTGACGCGTGCTGGAAAATTGATTCTCGATAAACTGCTTACAAACAAAATGTTATTTAGAATAACAAACAATTTCTAAGGAGCATAGAGCGCTTTATTTTCAATGCTTGAGCTTTAAGATGAAGAGATAATTATTAATGGTCTTGGAGGATTTTCTGTAGAAGCAGACGTCTTGTTGGCACGTGGTTCTTCTCGGCATTTCCATTATACAACAGTTTATTCTAAAACACTGCCTTTATTGAGAAGTTGTCAAATTCCGCGCTTCAAACTTCAAAATTGAATAAATGATTGAAAACAGACATGAACAACAACGATGCTCTGGAGAGAATTTTTTTGACAATTAGCGCTAAACAAAACATTCCTCCCCCACTTAAAAAAAAATCTAGGTCAGGATCTGAAAAGCAACAGTTAATTTATTCTTTGAAATTAATCATTGAATGTAGTCAGTGAAACAACATGGGGCTAATGATTTTTATCTTTTTATCTATGTTCGACTTAAGGGCAAATGCCCCGATCTTCATATCGTTCCCGTACGATTCATTTTGATCTTGAATAAACATATCCCGATGGTGAAGGCTAACGCATTCAAGTATACGCCCTATTTATTATTTACAGACGCATAAAATAATTCATAAGCTTTTCTTTTGGTTTTCTATGTACATATGCTATAGTTAATCAAATACAGTTACCACCAGTTAAAATATTTTCCGCACAGACAAATGTCAGTTGAGTGGGATCCATTACATTGTAACTGGGTTATTTGGACAAAATACATCAATATTTCTTTACAAACAATCATTCATTCAAAAGGATTATCTAGTGATCAACCCCCTTTTTATATATACATGTATTCAATTTACACTGTCATAAAAGGATATAGGTTACAACACGTATCTAATCCGAGGACATTTAATTCATGGTTTTTGGCCCCGTACCTTGAGAACACCTGTTAGGAATGTTTACAACTCTTTCCTATATATAAACTTGTAGTAGTTCCTGATTACTGAACACAGGCCCTATACACCTGCATAAATCTTCAATTATTTATATAAACATTCCCGCTGTAATAACGTCTAAGGAAAGTGGAAATGGGGTCACGAAAAGCATATACCTTCTTTGACGTTGCCTTGTTGCTCCTCTTCTCGCGGATCTTTGGATGCTTCCGTTCTCTCGTCTTCGGAGAGCAGCTCTCCATTCTCTTGTTCAGCTCTCATAGACTCCCAGGGACCTTCTTGCTCCATGATTTACTGCAATCCAACTTGGTTTTTAAAATATCCTTGTTAATTTGTTTGCAAACAAAACGTTTAACTTCTCAGTGCATAAAAAGTTACATTTCCATGCGCAGTTGTAAATGCCTGGGAAAGTAGCGTAAATTCCTTCTCTTCACATTATGCTCAGCTCTTTGCAGTGCGGCAACAGGGGTTATATTCAAACACAGCCGATAATTCTAAATATTCAACGTCGACTGAACATGAAACAAGTATAAATAATACATTAGTTAAAACACAGTGTATAATTCCGTGAGCCTCCTGTGCACAATGAAAGTAGTGGATCCCAAGGCCTCACATTCTCCAACTTAACTTGCAGCGATGGAATAAAATCCAATACACAGTTTTATTCAAAATAGTAATTCCCACTGGAGCAGAAACTTGCAATGATTGACACCAGCACTTATCGACCCGTTTCGGTTGGCTGATCTTCGTTATATACAAACGTATATTAAATATTCCGACCTCACATATTTTCGTGGTTCCGAATGTGGCCGGAAACTGTCTTCACTTTGGAAGAAACAATTCCAATCTCTGAAGCCCCGACTGTGCACTTTGCAAGCAGACGATATTTAGTCCTGTTTGTCCCGATTTAGTTGGATCCCAAGGGAAAACAATCGCTAAGCGGCTGTATGGATTTTACTCCAGCCTATACCAATGGTCGACATTAGATTAATCAATTAATAAAGCAAAGACCCTTTCTTTTAACTTCCGCACGAGGCTGCCGCTCGTGAATAATAAGTTGTTAAATTATCATTGCATAAAAATTTCGCTATGTTTTTAGATTGCCCTCAGACATAATTGAGAAGTAACAGCGTGTCATCTTGAACATGGTCGTCAAGATGTTCTACAATTACAATTGTTTTTCCTTATCAGGACAATGTCAACACGTCTCTTAATGCAGACGGATTTTTAAAACAAATTTAAAGTCGAAAAGGAAATATTTTTTTTAAAGTTCTCAAGTTAAAAAAAATCTGTTAATTGAAAAGAAACCGTCTTTCAAACACAGAGATCACTCTCTCAAAACATGCAAAATGCAAGAAAGATCCTGCTTTCCAATTGTTTTATTGGGTCTGTGCAATTGTCATCTGTCGAGACATAAAGTCTACGTAAAGAAATTGTACATTTCACACAATTCCTTTGGGAGTTTTGGTTTCTATGCAAACCCTTTCAAATAAAGTTAGTTTATATTAATATGTGTAGCAAGTATTTTTAATAGACAAGTCCTGGGCTTTATTTCATCAATTTTAAATTTGGAAATCGCAGCTATCATCACCAAATACTTATAAGAGAATGGCACATACCATAGAGAATTATTTATGGGAATATTATTGAAACGATAAACCTGATAGATTATTGTAAATTATACTCCTTACTTAACCAAAGCTTTAAATATCAAATATTGTTTTCATGTCAATTTTTTTCTCTATTAACAAATGCATACTTGTGACAAATTGCATATACGATGCCAGATCATTGATAATTCCAATATGGCCACCATAAATCATTTGAATTACCTACTTCTGTGTCTGACTGGCACTATTACGCTTATTGTCTAACATAGGGCATATAGTTAATTCATTTACATAATAAGTGTCTGAATGTCACACTTAGGACTACAAAGACCCTCCATTAACGGTCTGACAAACCTAATTAGAGACCAGCTAAAAGTAAATTTGCATTTTACCTATTAATCTTTTATCAATGGATACGGGAGCACAAATTTCTTTTATTTGATTAAAACATGCTAAAACAGCTCTTCTTTCAACGGGTAAGAAGTCTTTTTGGTCATTGTATTTATGTCAGAAAGTTGGTTAGTTAATGTACACGTATATATAAGTGTTCCAAATGCAACTATGAATACAAAAGAAAATAACAGAGAGTTAATACACGAACATATGCACCAACTATAATTTCTTCAACAGACGACCATTAGAAAAGAACAGGAAACCAAATCTTGTTCCATATTTCCTTAAATAAAATGTGGAATTTACTTTTTAGACAGGGCAGACGACCCACACACAAAGTTTTGCATTAATCATCCTCAGTTTCAGAATGTCAAGTGATATGAGACAGTTCACAATCCACTAGCAGGTAAATACGTTCAGATGTAGGCATATATTACACTTGTATTTCCAGCTCTGCATATTAATTAATTTTTATGAATGCAGACATGTGAAATAGAAGCAGACGATACAAATCATTATAAAATCTTGTTGCAAAGATGTTTAATTATCTTACTTTCCACACATACACACAAACAAAATGAGAGAGAGCTAGAGAGATGGGACAGAGAGAAAAGAGGCATGGATATAAACAACTTTTTTGCGGGTCAACAACCTAACCAAAACTTAGGACTTGTACCAAAATAAAACATAAATGGACACATTAAAAAAACGAGACAAACTGATTAAAACTAGTGGCATTTGCCTATAGATCAGACAATTGTATACCGAAAGTGAATATGGTACCTTGAAAGAAAACCATTACAGATAGGTAAAAAGTTCGAGATGACACTTGATCATGAGTTACCCCATAGAGCGAAACTGACAGAAGGTCAACTTTTTGATTGTTAAGCCATTTAGGTTTGACGAAAAGATTTTAAAACATGGCAAAGGAAAATAAATGAGGGAAAATGAAATAAAATACCAAAAAGGAAGCAATATTCAGATTACTTCTATTGGATTTTGCATGCAAACAATATCATCTTTCCCATATTTTTCTTCATGAACGTTTTTTATATAAAATTCTTCCGCCTATTATTAAGTCTATATAATGAAATACATTCTGAATAGTAGTTCTCGAGTCCTCGAGCAGACCCTAATTTGCATAAAAGAAAAAAAAAGGTTCTCACAGTAAAATCATATTACTGCTTTACAATAGCATCCGTAGTAAATGATTTATCACAGAAATAACTAAAGTTCAGTTTTGATAATATTTTGACGAATTTTTAAATCCTACATTTATACAAGGAGAAAAAAAGAAATTAGTTTCCCATACTCAATATGCCCTTCCAGGTCATTTGAAAAAAAAACTATATAGCGATGCAATCATTTTACAACTATAAATTTCAAATAAAAAGATTCCTGAAAATTTCCTTCACATGTTTCTCCAATAACTCTCTACCAATCACTAAAACCAGCACTAGAGATTGCAAAAATCCTCTTCCATAAAATTCTAGATAAAGAGTAAAGCAAACAGACATACAACTATCGAGACCTTGCAAAAATGCTTGCAGTCTACTAAATACTTTAAACTATCATCGTAAAATAACGACCAGTCAATGCTTACAGTGCATGACAACTGAATCACTCCTAACCAGATCTCTTAGGAAGAAATTTCTTTTTTGTCAATGTTTTATTTCCTGTGGAGTAAATATTTGTTAACTTTGATAACTAAATTATGAGAGAAATATACAGATGGAATATGCATAGTGTTGGAACAGAATCGTTCTCCCTTTAAGCAATAATATAATAAAAATATTATTATATTAAATAATACTCCATATCAGTTGTTCGACCGAAAAGAGGGAGGAAAATCAATAATAAGTGAAAGTATATGTACACTGGACGGCAGATGTCGCAAAACATCACAAAATACAGGACTGTAACAATACAAACAAGCTAGGCTCGGAAAATGAACCAAGGACTATGGCTTTACAAGGTGACCTTGGGAACTTCATCTGAATGTCACATAAAATGTTGGACCTAAACAGTATAATATGAAGAGATTTTATTTCGACAATGAATGTCGGAATGCACATCCATCACTAAAGAATGTAATGGATTGAAAACTTTTGGCGAAACCAAGTACATTTATACGTTTATCATACAAGATTTTTAAACTGAAAACAAAGTAAATTCTCAAATGTACTGGACCGTGTAGATCTTTATAGTCAAGATTATAAAATGAAAAATAAATAAATAAGTAAAAGTATACAAAATTGAAGAATCGGCCTAACGAGCATATATAAAGTTGGACTATTTAGTGTAAATATACATGTAATATCATGGTTATAAACAATTCGGACAATGTTATTTATACAAGTCAATATATAAAAGAGGATTATACATTTGGAATGCTGTAAATTACGTAACAAATTTTGTATATACAAGGTACATAACCATGTCGGAAGTGTCTACACAAATATGCACATAAGTGTATATTTTTGGTACGCCTAACTTGTCAACCTCAATGAGTCTTTTAATTTATAACAGATTGAACATTCATTAAGAATGCAGAACTTCTAACACTTTGTATTAAATCATAACTACTTACCATACCACAAGCGGTTCTTCATTATTAATCTGCTAAAATGGCTAACATATCCTGAGATTAAACACAGCGAAAAGCAGTCCTAATTGAAAAAATACAATTCAGTCCTCCTAAACCATTCCAGATGGGTATTTAAATCGGGTAGATAGCGAAACAATTGGTAGACGTATATGTATATATCAATGTACCACTAGATTGTGTTCAGCATCGTTGCACACAACTGAATACAAAAATCAACGCCTTAAAATGACTCTAATACACTGCAGTCATTTAAAGCTTATCCTCATCAAAATCTCTGTTTCATATAACAGAGGAAGTACTTAAGTACCGTACACCAAAAAAATGGAAGTATGCAGTTAAAGTCTTGCACGTTTTAGGTTTAAGTATTACAGTGTATAACGATTAAAGGATTTGAAAATACTTGAATACATCTAGAATCTCGGTGACAGATGTAAGTTTTGGTAATCACATGATTAATTGACCTTTCAGTAGTAATCACTTCCGCTCATTTCTCCTTACTGACATACATACATGATTTCAACTAATACTATCCGTTCCGTCGTTCTACTTTCGTTTGGTATTATCAGATCTACTGTGTTCTTTTTATACTTATAGATGTATTGACTTATTGATAGAAGATTCCTAATGAAAATTAATGCAGTGAGGGATTTTCAGAGGTAAGCATCTATTTAAAGTTGAATAAACAGTAGTTTCGTGTAATCGATAACATTAATGAAGTTAACAACTTCCTTGCTTTTGTATTATCAGGTCGATTTACATTTTGTCCCGCTTGTGAAATCACCTGCTACTTGTCATAAGGTTTTAATGCTATACATTATGAATTTTATGATTGTACTTTCAAATGCATTAAGTATTGTGAATTTATCTCGTTTTATAACACTCTCCTTTCCTGCTTTTTTTCCTCGGTAAAATATAATCAGTGCGACATCGTGCGATATTTGGTTTCTTTAATCGACGTTAACCAGTGTTCAATTGGTCGATTCATATAATAAACACACAATAACAAAGATGCTTCATTTACTGCAGAGTAGCAAGCATTGACATTCCAAACTAAAAATTCCCCAAATCCAACAAAATGACTGAGGTTTGAACACAAACTATCACACTGGGTAATATGTGTATAAGAACATTCTTATGATTGTTAAATCGTGGTTGTTGTCAACTCTTTCTATTCTTTCCATATTGCTTGTTGTTTAACGTCCCTCTCGAGAATCTTTTCACTTGTATAGAGACGTCACCACTTGCCCAATAGAGAGCTGCACATTTTGACGTACACTTGGCATTCATATCCATTGAACAGTGATGGATCTTTTTCGTGCCAGCACCTACTGCAATACGGAAGCTCGGCTTCCACGAAGGACCGGTCGTCACGTTCCACAGTGTGATTCGATTGATTGATTGTTTATTGTTTAACGTCTCTCTCGAGAATTTTTCACTCATATGG